CCCCCTTTGGGCCCCCCGCCGAGCCCGAGCGGCGCTGGCTGGCGGCGCAGCTGCGCGCGCCGTGCTCTCGCTGCAGATGAGCCAGCCCGAGCTCGCCCTTCCTACCCCCCGATCCAAGGGCTGCAATACAAAAATTCTCAGCGATTGTTATCATCAGCGTACGACACACGTACTGCAAGATACACGGAGCATAGTTACAGGCAAGCGTTAGCTGTAGGTACGTACATCAGTGGCCTTCTTTTCAGCCTGCTCTAGTTTTTCCTGGGCATCTTTGAGAGCCTCCGAGTACTTATCCAGCTCATCTTCAGTTCCTTTCAACTTCTTCTGCAGAGCTACCAGCTCATCCTCTACCTTTCAAGAGAGGAAAAAAAAAACCAACCAGTGAGCATTCTGCTGCATTATCGGTTACAGTTTAATATGGTTAAAACCTCTCTTTACTATTAGTTTGAACCCAACGTAACATACAAGAAGTCACCAAAGACCAGATCAAAGTTCTGCTGGGGCACGTAGTCTGGGAATGACTGGTGGCAGTTTCCAGGGAAAGATCATTAAAAACGGTGTCATTCCCTGCCACTGCACACACAGGATCCAGTTTAATACATAACTCGGTATAAGCCCTTTTTCACCTCATTTCTATTTTGGACTCTACAACACCCTGCAGCAGTGAATTCTACAGCATAATTATACATGTTTTAAAATTGTGTCCTTGTGTTTGTTCTAACACCTGATGATTTATTAGGGAACTATTCAATTCCTGTATAGCTAGAAAAAAGAAGCGGCCGTTCCCTAATCATCTGTTGCCAAACGTGATACTCTGGAAGCCGGAGGGAACAGGTCTGGCCCGCCGCAGCCCCTGCGGTCAGCGGGACGCAGCGACCTCCGCAGGTCCCTTCCAACCTGAATTAATCTCTGACTGATTGTGGGCCAACAAGGTACGCTCCATCCTACCATGAGGTTCAGACTCTCTCCTCCATACCATATAAATCCATACTCTATGCCGGAACGGTACTATTTATAACCTGCCGGGGGACTGTTTAATGACAAACTGTCTCATGCTCCCTGAAGAATTCACGTTATCGGGAGGCTTGCTGCTGATAAGGGTGGGCCCGCAAACCCATCTGCTCCATCACTTCATTTGCAATACAAAACAGTTCAGTCTGCAGAGAAACCCGTTTAACCATTTAGCTCCACCTTCACATAAATTTATAGTCTATCAAAATAGTTCACTCAAAATAGTTTGTGTTTTAGCGCCCTGACTTTTTTCATTCTAGCTTCAAAGACAGCTTTAATGACATGTTTGGTAGCGTGCTATTCTTGAACCTTGTTATGTTGCTATACTTTCACTCAGAGTAAGCAGATAGTGTGAGCGCGGAATACGCTTGCTTGGGTGCTTTAACAGAGGGACAGTAAGCAGGATGAAGGAGGTGATGCTTTGTGTATGACATTAAAATCACGACTTGAGTACTGTGCCCACATTAAGAAAAAAAGCTGAAAAATTTGAGACAATTCAGAGAAGAGGAATAAGAGCAAAGATTTATTTTTCTGTTTTAGCTTTTTATTGTGAATTGCCCTCATATGGATACTTGAAAATTCCCCACAAGTGTGTCATTTATCACTCCGTCGGAAACGACCTTTGATAACTAAATGTAACGGAAGGCTAAGCATTCCATCACCATTAACTGCTCTGAGTAACAATCTGCTGTGGCTGTTACTGAGTGCAGAAAGATTAGCTGGGGAAGCTGTGGCCCAGCAGAACAGCATCTGATCCACACCTCTGAAGCTAGCAAAGGAACAGGGACACGGGGCAATGTGTGCAGCTTGTAGAAATGAGAGAGAAGAGAGAAGCAGTTTTCCTTGTGGAGGGGGTGGAGGGGGAAGGCAGCAGCAGCTGACCATTTTGGAAACTTCTTTTCCTGCTGCTTTAGCTAAATGGATGATCAGTTGAAAGTTTAGTTATATCAGCCAGGATCTCAAACTGAACTTGAACATAAGAAATATTTGGCCAAATGAATGCTAATAATGTATTCTAGCAGTCTGGAAGATGTAGCAGAAGCAGCCACATTTAGAGGATGTAAAAGGAAAAGACGTGGTCGTTTTACAAGAAGCGCTGTAAGAAACTCGAATGTAGTCAACTTACACTTCAAGATCATTCTGAAAATACCATAGCTCAAATATGAGGTAGATACCCAGAATAAAGAACATTGAAAAGCAAAAGAACGCAAAAATGTTACCAGTATAATTCAGTTAAAAGAAGAGCTTTCAAATTAAGATATTTCTGATTATTCTTAGCAAAAAAAGTAATACAAATAATACAACATTATCTACTGTTCAGTCACAGCTGGTACCTCTAAGGGGCACTCTGTATACCAAGGACTAGTCAAGTGAACTTTATTAATTGACTTCAAGGAGAGGCTCAATTAATGTTTAGACACAGCTGACTCTTCAGGAGGTACTAACACTAGTCCTACAGGTGTTCAAGGTATACAGCTATGATTTTGAGTACGTCAGGCTTTTTCCATGGAATCACAAGCACAAGAAAATTAAGGCAATTATGTAAGATCCAAGAAAACTCAGGCAAAGTACTCTTAATAATCTGTGGATAGCGCTAATTTTGCAAAGACTCAGGTGGCTGAAAACAGAAGTTAATACCTAGCCCTGGCTGGACGAGTGTAACATCATAAAACGGCAAAAGACTTCAAAAGAAGATTAACAGAAAATCTGATTTCCAATTATTTTGCTTTCTGAATCAGAAAGTTGCAACGTAGTATTTTGTCACACTTACTTCCACAGCACATACACAATCAGTGATTTTATTTCTACTTACCTGCTTGCATTTGTCCTCAGCTGCCTTCTTATCCGTTTCAGCCTGCTCCGCTCTGTCAATGGCATTCTCCTTGTCTAACTTCAGCATCTGCATCTTTTTCTTGATAGCTTCCATTTTTGTTAAGGGATAGGTTGTATCTGTCGCGCAACTGAAAGAATTCTGAAGGGTAAAGTTTAAGACTTTTAACAGCTTGGGCAGAGAAAGAAGTTGTACCCAGCCAAGTCACAGGGAAAATGAGCTCAAGTGGTTGTAGAGAGCTTTAAACCCAGAGACCCCTGGACAAAACCCAGATCTATTGGCCTCTTCTCTGATCTTTCATACACAGCCTTTCTAAGGAATGAGCTGGAACAGACTCACTAGAGGAATCTTCACCACTCCATCATCTCCTTATTTGGGTCCTGTTTTCTTAAAGAGAAAACTGTTTCCATTTTTAAGCTTCTGACAGAAGCAAAAGTGTTGACATACGAACACATGCTTGAAAGCAAGCTTATTAGCACACCTCTGTGTTTGCAGAGCAATTAAACAGCCCAACAGATCTGTTGGGATGGCCTGGCTTCTTATTATAATGGCATAAGACTAATGAAGGAAAGGGAAGGATCTTTTTAGATTACTCCAAAATAAATTCCTGCATAAAACAAAATAAAAAAAAATCTACACTTAAGAAGCAGCTAAATTTATGTTACAAAAAGAAGCAGAATATGTAATGAGACAGCAGGTTTTTTTGCTGTGAAAATAAGCACTGGTGTTAAGGAACTAGCTATAACCTGTAATAGTATAATACATAACAGAGGTCAGATTTAGATCCCAAGTTCAGGCTCAAAGGCATTCAGTGAGTTTGAGTGCCTGTCTTTGAAATTTCACTCACTAAATACTTAGGGAACTGAACAATACCCCTGAAGTTGCAGTCTGATAAGCACCGCAAATTATTTCTTCTGCTGTATGAAGCTGTCGCCTTCTCTCTGTCAGGCAAGGCAAGAGTAGACTCCGGGAAGAGCATCAGGAGCAGCTCCACTGAGGACACCAACAAGAGCATCCAGCAGCGCCAGGATGAGCCCTATTTCCTTCCCCAGCCCTATTAAACACATACCCATGCCCCAACAGCCCTCTCCCATCCCTCCGTATGTTCTAGCTTAGCTTCACAGCCTGTGGCTCCCGCTTTGTCCTGACTGCAGCAAGGGCCAACTTACTCCACTTCCCAGAGCAGACTGAAAGCACTTGTTGACTTTGCTACACAGGGGGACCTGCATGCCCTCATATTCCCCAACTTCAGGTCCCATTAACCACTCCACGGTCCCTTCCCTCCCAATTCTGTACCTGCTCTGCTCTCCACAGCCCCACGCTCCATCCCAGGCCGCACACAGCCCAAGCTCTCTGCACACCCTCACAAACCCCGTCAGGCCTTCCCTCAGACGTGCTCGCAGCATCCCCAGCCACGAGGGGTGCCAGAAGACTCAACACAAGACCCAGGAACTTGCCCATCCTCTGGGGTGAGCTGGCACGGCACTGAAAGGCCTTCAGGAGAGACTTCTGAGGAAAAATTGCCCCTTGTTTATCTAAGCTCAGTAGCAGAACGGACACAAAGCCAAATACCAGCACAATGCCCATGAGGAGGGCCAGAGCCCCACAAACCATTCCCAAAGCACCACCAGGCCAGTCAGAGCACTCACTGGGCTGCTGAGGCTGCCTTTCGCAAGAGATTTACTGCTGTTTCGATTCAAAATAAAAACAACGCTCACACCGCTACTAAACCCAAGCCCTCAACCCCCAGCGGCCCCACCCGCTGCCTGATAAAGCGGGCTGCGGCCCCCCCACCCCAAGATGGCTGCCAGGAGGCGCCCCCAGGCGCTGTGCTCTAGCGGCGCCAAGATGGCGGCGCGCCCGAGGACTACACCTCCCAGAGGGCCGTGCGCGCTCCTCCCGCCGGCGCGCTCCCTCATTAACGGCAATTAAATAAGCCCAGGTTCAGCCGCTTGGCGGTTTTTTTTCCCCGCATATAAAACAATGGTTTAAATTTTTAACAGCTAAGTTGAGCGTTCTCTGGGAAACCGGTGCTGGCTCTTCCCTCCTCGGTGTGCGCCTGTACTCCTCAGCACGCCTCACATAACTAAATCTGCTTTTTCCCCCAGAAACTGGCATATTTGCCTCCGCTTCCCTGGCCCGCAGGTACCGCTGCAACAAGGTGGCCTCACGGGCGTTTTCTGTCCAATTCCGATGGTTCGAACAGCGAAAGATAAAAACACAGGTTCTGAGCCTGGGAATAGGTTTAAGGAGTTGAGGTGAGGCACTGAATTAACAGTGC